GTGTCCCGGGGCCGCTCCTGCCCCCCTGCCCTGCCCGTTCCCCGCCGGCTGCGGCGCGGGGAGCCGCGGCCCAGAACCGAAACCAAGGGGGTTGACACTGGCGTAGCTAGAGCCTTGAGTGGAAACCTGCATAAAGCACGTTTAGTCGTTGGGGTTGGCTTTTTTCTTTTTTTATTCAGAGAACTGGGGTGTTAGATCTGTTACGTCTCTAATTCGAAATTAGCGTGGTCGCTACTAGTTTGCACGGAGAACAAACTATTTAAGCCTAATAGTAACAAGGAATGCGAAAATTCCCACGGCATTTCGCTGTTTTGCCCAAGTATCTCGTACGAGCCCTGATCCTGCCAGAGGAAGTCGGGCCGTGAGGAAATGGGAGCTGCGGCCGCTGTGGCGAGCTCGGCAGTTTGAAAAATGCCAGATGGGCCTGGCTCGGAGCGCAGTTCGCTTTGTGTCGTGTCACCACCCCCTCCTTCTCCGGCAGCCGAGCGGGGGAAGAGCCGAACGCAGCCAAGTCACCTCCCACTCTCTCCATCTAGGGTAGGGACTTCCACATGAGCTCATCTTGGGAAACAAAGATCGTTTTTCCAAATCAGAACTACACCCACTGATGTTATGTCCTGCTTTTGCTGCTGCAGAGATGACTGTCAAACGTTCGAGATACAAAATGCCAGCAGAGAGCTGACTGAGCTTTGTAAGACTTTCTGTGTGAAGTTGTAGTATGTTGGAATTTCCTGCTCTTTGCAGGAATGTAAACAAAAAAAAATATCCCTGATTACTCATGCACACGAACACACAGATTATCGTGACAGCTTTATCTCTGATGAGTATGGGGTTTTTTTTCTTTTGTCTTAGGAGATAAGCTGTTTTTCCTCTCATCTTCGTAGAGAATTTACATTCAGTAAGTCCTCTTGTTGCAGGGCCCAGGTAATCTAAATGGAAGGCCAGGCTGCTGGGGTTTATGTTGACATTGCTTTTCTCTCTTTGTTTAATTGTTGCAGCTGTGGTAACTGTATCTGTAATGTTTGAAAAAGTCATGGGATGGAGGGGTGGATCACTCTTAGAGTGAAGTGGATCTGGCTCAGGTGTACACAGATGGAATGGATTGGGCTTGCCCCGGTCGTGTGACATTTTTGCTATCAAAATATGGTGACATAGTTTTTGGATGCAAAGTTATAAATTGTTCTAGTTCATACTAAAAATTTACTTCGTGTTGCTCTTACTCATTCCCTGTGCAGTACCCTGGGGGAATGGATGTTACTGGCAAATCGATATGTGCACTGTTGTTTTATCTTTTATTTGGAGCATCATTCCTGGTTCAGTGGAGTCATATAGAAGAATACATGATCCAAGGTCATTTTTCTTTGTTTTTTTTCACCTATAGAATTAGGAAATAGGCCCCTCACGGTAATTTGTGATGTTGATATTTGTCCATCAGAAAATGGGTTGATGTAATCAGCTTTGTCATTGGAAAATACTGGATGGAAACTGGTGTGTGCTGTGTCTGGATCAGTGATTTGGCAGTAGTTAAATGCCAGTCTTCCAATGTTCTTGTGGACTGACTTGCATACAGGTCAGACAGTTTTAGCAATGAAAGTATGATCAGCTTTTTTTTATAATGAGCATGTGATTTATCTTATATAAAGGAGGTTCACAAAAGAAAATAACTTATATGTGTGTTTTAAAGGCAGATTATTTTTAAACTAACATATAAATTGTAATTTTGCACGTATGAAATTACAGCTCTGCAGAAAATTCCTCCCTACCACCCTCCCCCTTCCCTTCTCTTAACTAGCTTTAAAAGATTAGATAAAAATCAACTGGAGTAGTTATAAAAAAAGTTTTCTGAGATTTCTGAAAAAGACCAAGGGTTGTTAAATTCCTGTTTCCCTTCAGAGTGAGTCATACATATGACTTTCTCGTGTTCTTTTGAAAGTCCCGGCTGTTTGTACCCATATTTTCATATGAAAGCATTTTGTGCCTCCCTCTTCTTGGCTGCATTATGTCATGAAAACAGCTTTCAGTAGAATTCTCACAAATGTTTGATGCTAGATTGAAAATAAGTTAGCAATAAATATGCTTTTCCTCTGATAGAAAACTATCCAAATCACATTCCAGTGCCTGAGGGGTTCCTCTGCTTATATGAGCAGTGAAACCCAGTCCATGGGTTTAACCAAATCCATTTGTGGATTTGTAGAGTTATTTTTCATTTAAACAGCATTATGGGAAAAAAAAGACTTGCAAGACTTGTAGATAGTTTCTCATCTGCTTAATTTATGGACACAACACACGACATTGTTGATTGTAACTTCCAGAATTTGTAAGAGCCTGAAAATGCTTTTAAAAATATTACCCAGGTGCTAGAGCCTTTCAGTGTATTAGGCTTTGAAGTCAAATAGGCTTTTGCTTTCTGCTGCAGTTTAAACAAAATTATGCAGTATAGTGCCTGGACTCCACATAAGGGCTAAGATTTGTCTTCAGGTTGCTTGTTTCACCTTTCTCCATAGAGGTAATGGAGATAAGGTTAGATAGAATTTCCGTAGTTGGTGGCAGTGGAAATTGAACATAGCACCCTACTGATTTTGTTAATCACAAGGGTGGGGATTTTTCTAGGTTTGAATATTTGGTTCAGTTTTCAGTGTGGTGAAACAGGAATGTTAAATGAAGGAAAAGGCAGTCTGTGGGTCATCTGTGCCTTCAAAGTTAACCAATTTGCATATTTAATGTTGGAATTTTTTCTTCTTGTGGTTCTTCAATCTTTTTGAGCATGGAGGGTGTGTGTGAAGAATCCTTAAAACCCCAGTAATTCATTCAGAGTGGAGTAACTTTACATGATGCTAATGAGAAAATCCATACACTCTTGAATGTACCGATAATTAGTGTTTTAAAATACTACCTGTTATATTGTGAATATTTCCTTTATTTTTATTTCATTTAAACAAGATGCATGCCTGATAGCAGTAGTTTCCATGTGCGGGTTTTTTTTTCATTCCTTTGTCTACAATATGTGGTTGTACCACCATTTAGCTCCAAAAACTCTTCCTGAAAAATGCCCTGAGACTTTTAGGGGAGAAAAGGCAGTGATGAGCAGAGGGGTGGAGGGTTGCTGTGAAGAGAGCAGAGCTTTAGACTTAAATTGCTATGGAACTTAATTGCTATTCCCAGAAATACTTGAAGTATCACTCAGCAGCAAGCTTTTGTTTCACTTCCTATGGAAATTACAGGCTTGTGTTAAGGTAGTTTTACTTTTAAAAGAACTTGCATATTTTTCTGATTGGTATGACCTACCAAATACTTTCTGTTCCATAATGAGCAACTAGGAGAGTCCGTTGAGCATGGGAGGTCAGTGCAGAGTATATTTTAGTTTAAACTGAAAGTTAAATACTTCAGATAGCAGAGTTAACTATGAACACGTGTGGCAGATCACTAATGTGTTACATTTTAATTCTTTCCCACAGAACTGCTTTTGGAAGATGCAACTCATTAAGAATGAGCACCAGAGAAGTGCCGTGGTAGGCTGGGAATTTATGTCATGTTGGTTTCCTGTTTAAAAAACATTAGGCTGGTAATTTTGAAGGGACAGCAACAAAGTGATGACCAGGTGCCAAGTGCCAGCTGTCCTTATTCACCAAATTCAAGAAGAATTGGATAAAGAAGAAGAAGAGATAATGGTTTTCCTGTGCCGGGACCTTGCTCCTGACTTGGCCTCTGCCAATCTTAGAGAGATCTTGGTGGCTTTGAATGAGAGGGAGAAACTGTCTTTTCTTGGTTTGTCTGAGCTGTTGTACAGAGTTAAGAGGTTTGACTTACTGAGAAGGATCTTGAAGACTGAGAAAGCAACAGTGGAAGCTCACCTTGCCAGAAGTCTCAGACTTATCCCTGATTACAGGTAATACATCAATTTCAGATTTCAAGGCTACCCTGTCTTGTTCAAAATAAGTGGGGTGGGGTTTGTTTGTTTTGGGAGTGGGTAGGTGGGTTGGGTTTTATTTATTTTTTTAAATAGGTATTGAAGGTAAAAGAAAAGCAGAAAAGGGCATTATATCTAGAGTTACAGTGAAAAGAGTATGTCAAGTTTAGTCCCTAAATTAAACCTCAGTAGTTTCTTACAAGTCCTGGTATTAGAAGCATCTACATGTTTGTGTGTTAGTGAATAAAACTAGTGATGTTTGTAGAGTCTCAGATTAGCAGTTTAAAATGACACTTTAAAGGAACATTGTTAGTTAGAGATACCTTCTTTTCCAGCTCACTTTGGGCATGTAGCCATGTGCTATAGCTTTTCTCAAGGAACCTCCCTCTTACTACTTTTTACTCTCTTAGTTTTGAGAGTTCTAAATGAAGATGTTCCAGTTATTTTCCTTGAGGGATTTCATAAAGAAATGCATGTACTTGTAAGGAAGATTTTCCTGTGTTAACTTCTCACTGAAAGGAAACCTTTGTAATTAATAGGTAAAAAAGTTAAAGATGTGTTCTGTTTTGTCATTCTCTCACTTGATCGATGGTTATTACAATCCATCTGAATAGCACTTGTGCTGATTAGCAAGAGTAGGTATTTTATAATTGGATGTTGAGGAAGGGTAGTTTTTTTGCCTCTTTATTAATTGGAAATGGGACATTAAGACTGAACATGGTAGAAGTTGGGTAGTTGGGCAAGGGTGGAATCCTGCTGCAAGCTAATGCTTTAGAAATATCTCAACTTTATTTCAGGGTCCTAATGGTAGAGATAAATGAGAATCTGGAAAAAGAAGAAGTGGGTTCTCTTGGTTTTCTACTCAGAGATTATGCACCTCGTATGAAAATAGCAAGAGATAAGGTATGTGTCTCTGCTGGTATTCTCCTCTGGAGCAGAGTTATAAAAGTAAAAAGATAAGTAGCTAGACAGCAAAGGAGAGGAGACAGTACTGCAAGGAGTAGACAGACATCAGTAAGTGGACGGGGAATAGTGGTTTCTATCTCGTTTTGTTGGTTTTTTAATTCAAGGAAAGAAATATGGAAAGCAGAGGGAACAGTGCTTGCTCTAGTGTATGTTGTTAGAATGAACCTCACAGACAGAAGGCATTTTAAAAGTTTTCAGTATTACTAATCTAAAAGTTCATATAAGAAGGATCTTAAACCAATATGAAATGTATCTTGAATTACAAGGTCACTTCTTATGTTTGTGCTCTGCTTAATTTACAAAAGAACAGATTTATTTTAATTATGTCTTTCTCTGTACCTTTGTGTTCTGAAATTTTCTTCTAAGTTTTCTGAGAGAAGTTCAGTAGAGGGTTCAGAAAACTTGACCATTGTGCATAGAAGACTGACAATTTCTGTCTTCTTCCTCTGAGTTTTTTTTCTTTTTCTATATTTGATCAGCGAAGGAGAGAGGCCCTGAAAATTTCCCAGAGCTTTTCTTGCCTCTTACTTTGCAGCATGTGAGGGGACAGTCCAAGGGGTTGGCCTTGTAGCAACAACGAAATGCCAAACTGTTTCCTGAGAAACTTAAGATTCATTTTTAAGAATATAATTTTCTAGTTTCCATTACTCCTGTGATAATACCAAGAGTTCTTATGTCTTCCTGATAATTTTCTTAGTGTTTCAGAAGGTAACATCCTTACATTGTTTATATAGCCCTGATGAGTTCCTCAGGGTATTTTCTGGGTTACTTGGTTACTTGTGATAAAGAACAAATTACTGATATGTTTGGTTTTCTGTTACTATTCTAGAGTTTTCTAGCTCTTGTAATTGACCTGGAGAAACTAAATTTGGTGTCTCCTAATCAACTGGATTTGATAGAAAACTGTTTTCGAAATATTCACAGGATAGACCTGATTAGGAAGATTCAGAATTATAAACACGAAGGTAAGATGCTATTTTTGCACTGGTTACTCTTGATAGCAAGAATCAGATGTGCTTTTACTGAAGATAAAATTATAAATTAAAAGTCAAGGTTGTTTGCATGCTTCACAGATGGAGGCTTTTAAAACGGTTGCTATATCATGGTGTGTTTGTGTGTTTCTGTTAAATTTGCAGCTTTAATGTCCTCCGTTCTCTCTCAGCCAGTCTATGTAAATGCACGTCAGGCATCTCTCCCTAATCTCAATCTGATTGATCCCTCTTATAATTCAGGGGTAAGTGTACAATAAATCAGACAAATCCTTTATTTCTAAATATTACCATGCATTAAAAGGAGATTCATCTTTCAGAGCCTTAGGAATGAGGGATTGCTAGTGGCTAAAATATGGCTTGGTTTATTTCTGTTATTCCTGTTTTTTGCTGTGTTTAGGGTCTGATTTAAGTCTTCTAATTGAGAAAGATCCCCTTTAAGGAACTTACGTGAATTTTTTCCTACTAGTTGAACATATAAAATCTGTATCTTGAAAACTTTCTTCTACTACACTGTGGAGTGAAAAGCTTTGCTTTGAGTCTTCTTTGCAAAACATGTTATTCTTCTTTGTACTTCTGGACCTTGCAGGGAAAGTAGCTTCGAATTTTTGAAGGTGAAGATTATAGTTTTTTAAGAAGAGTTTTTCAGATCTATTTTTTTTATTATTTGTTGTAATCTAATTTTAAGGAAGATATTTTAGTATTTGAAAAGCCATCAAATCCCATCTCCTGCAGTATTCTTTATATTTGAGTTAGGTCTAATACTGTTATAGTATGACCTTAAAGTTTCTAGCCTTGCTAAATTTGATGAGATTATTTCTGTCATGTTTTCAGAAAATATGTGTGTATGAAGCTTGCTTACAAGACACCAGTGATGCTATTTGTCTTTACCAATGAAGGCATACAGCTCTGTTTTTCAGACTACTAATAGGAAAGTGTTTGCACAAACTTTCCATATCATGATCATATCGTTAAAATTTTCTTTCTATTTCAAGAAAAGTTCTTTCCTGCTGCACTATAGGAAACAAAATTCACATTTTCAGAGGGTTTTTTTGTTTGCTTCACTACATGAGGGAGTAAGCTTATCTTTGCTGTTCATGACAAGCTGGTAATTTTTTTCTGAGGAGGAAGAGTTTTGGTGTTTGCTATTTGTTTGTGCTTTTACTAGGGCTTTTTAATTTGTGATTTTGTAATTCTAATTAGCTGGTAGATGTGAATCTAAAATATGTAGTCCTTTTATGGAGGAAGAAATACTACTCTGTTTTATTTTGGAACACATGATTATTTATTCTTGAAGGAGAGGGAAAATTACACCTTCTTTTTTCATTCTAGATTTCAAGTGGAAACAGAGACAAATTACAAAATAGACAAAGTCTTACTCTGGGTAAGAGCATTTTCTCTGAGTTTTGATAATCTAGAAGAGCCAAATGATGAATTTCATTGTATTATAAGTACTGTTGTTTGATAGTGGTGTTTGTGGCTCTGAAAACTGAGTCTGACCTTATTATTTGGCTTTGCTTGTGCTTCCACATCTTTAAATGTTATTAAAAATTGTTGTGGGCTTTCACTGTCACAATGTTTGAAGAGAACAAATGCTTTATTAAGAAAACCATGGATAAGATTGACTAGCCGACTCTGGAGGCCTGTGCAGTGCAGCTCTCCCCAATTAACTCTTGAGTAGAAAGCTTTTGTGTTAGTTCAGTGGTGAACTCTCCACCAGGCCGGCCAGGAAGTTGTGCAGTGAGTACAGGGTTCTTCCCATGTGTTTTGTCTGGAAACCTGAAATGCCTCTCAAATATGGTAATTTTTAGGAGTACTTGGCTGAATTGTCTTGATGTGGGAAATACTATTTGTTTATTCTAGTCACAAGCAATTTAGAACACAATCCAAATAACATTTTAGACGAAAAAACTTAGGGGTTTTTAAACTTCAGTAGCACACACAGAAACTTAAGAGGTCCAGATGGGTGAGAACTTCGCTGAATCACATATGTTCCTCTTTATAACTGATCTGCTGTCAAAGAAATATCACTGGTACTTACGTACTGAGATTACTTCTGTATGTTTTAACTGCAGCCGAACCAATCCACATGTCCATTCAGGAATTGGGACCAGTGTCACATAAGGTACGTGTTTGTGCACATGTAGACATGTAAATATAATAACCTCTGTGGGTATTTACCTTAGTTTGTGTTTTATTTTGAGACTTCCTTTAATTGCATGCAGGCAGAACGATGTGTACACCCTCAGCCACACACAGGTTCTGTGAATTGCTTTTGCAGAATGGATTTTTAGTAGAAAGTATTTACTGCTGCTCTGGAAGCAGCAGCATGCAAATTCATGAGTATATGGGGTGCACACAGAACCTGTACATTTGTTAGTGGAGGCTAAGTCAAAACCTTTTGGAGGTCAGGCCTCTTGCTATCTGCATTAGAAATCACAGGGCTTCTTTGCATGCAGTAGATTTTGTTCTTGATTCCCTCCTCACCCCTTGCTTTCCAGGCATGAGGCAGACATGCTTTGGGTATTAATGAAGAATGGACTAGTGCTGTTTCCACTTGTAGGCCAGGAACCAGGGAGTTACCTGTAGCAAACTGATTGTAAACTCTTCAAAAGAGAGAGGAATTGTGATAGTCATTACAGATTATTTAAATAAGGAAATAAACCTTGTTCTGATGAGCAGTGCTTGTTTGCACACCGGAAGAGCACAAAGCTTCTCTACATTTAGTGGCAATGTGAATATATAGCTCCCAACATCTGAATAGCAGTGACAGTATTAAAATGCTTATGTATTATAATACTTATATAGTATGAGTATTTCTTTTATACTTAAAAAAATACTAATTTGAAAATACTGCAGAAGGATCATTGCTGTCATGGTGCAGGTCTTTAAACACCCCCTCTACCCCATATAGCAAAAAAACTTCAAAACCTGATGGATTTGAAGATCTGTTCAGAGTTAAGGTTCATTTCAAACTTGCTTCTGTACAGCCTTAGTCTCTGTTTAAAAATCATTAAGGTAGTAAGATTGCATAACACAAGGACACAAAAGCTAAGCCTGTACTGGAAATAGTCCATTTCTCCTGATTTTTTTTGTTGTGTAGATAAGGCATACTAAATCCCAGTAGATTTCTGCTAGCTACTCTGTGGAAAAACAGCTGAATGTAACTTAAGAGATCTGAGGTGGTTAAAGTTGAGAAAAGAATCAAGTCTGTAAGTTGAGAGTGATATACTAATTTTGTAATTGTCCTTTCACATTCCTCAGGTGCCAGATGATCATTACAGAATGCAAAGTCAACCTTTAGGAATATGCCTGATAATAGACTGTATTGGCAATGACACAGGTAAGTCTCTGGAATTTGAAGTTCCTTAACTTGTTAACCTTGGATAATTTGGTATAAAGAATATGATGTACATTTACCAGCTAAACTAGGGTAATGTCCTAGTCAGCTCCTCTACCAATTCTAGTAAGTCTTCCAAAGCACAGAGTTAAAGGCCCAACCTGAGGTTAAAACCAGCTGTGCTAAGTATTGCAAACAGTGTTTATTTGGGGTTTGGAGCACTCTTTCTGAACTAAAGAACTTGTAAGAGGATAGACTGAATTTTGGGAGGGAGAAACAGGGCATTTAGAGATTAACAGAATAGCTAAGCTACAGTCATACAACAAGTTATTGGCAAAGATGGTAGAGGTAGTGTTTCCCACCAGCTGACAAAAACAAGCTCAAAGCTGTTGTGCAGTTGAAGTACAGTCACATCAGACACCATAGATTTTGAATAGCTGAAGGCATGTGATCCTTTATTAATAATGCACCTAGGCTTCTGACATATCTTGCATAGTTTAGCTGAAACTACCACCATAGCTTTATAGGAAAAGGAATTTTCTTCATTCCCTCTTGGTTTTCTTAGAAAACAAACAAACAAACAAAAACCTTAGAGAGTTGTCCCTCACTATTCTGAAGTCTGAATACACTAAAGAAAGAGAAGAGGGCAGGAAGAACATTAGGAATTGTACCTGTGGCATCCATTAGAATCTGTAGCTATCCCAAGATTTAATCTCAGCAAGCTGAACCAGTAATAGATTATATAGGATCAAGGATTACAACAGTTGAAAATGCCCAGTGTAAACGACATGAATTCATCAAATGCCAATAAAATTCAAACTGAAATGCAACTTGCTGTTTCATAAACAGCTGCTTTTGACTTTTCCATTTAGAAGACAATTTTTATCCTTACATTGTAAACAATCAAGGGGAGAAAAAGCAAGTTTTTTAATGTAGAATGGAGGTGCTCAAAAGTCAGTGGAGGTTTGTTGGAAGATGATTAGTGTTGAAGAAACTTGACAGTTTCTGATCTCAGGTTGCAGCATGTAATGCTGTGGTTTGTATTTCTGATTCATTGTTAAACTAAAGTGTCACCTCTAAGTTTGTTGAGTTTAGGGGTTTTTTTTTGAACTGTGAAACTTAGTGTGTGTATGAACCAAGGTGACACCAGGTTTCATATCTCTGTGTATCTGCATGTGCCAGTGAGATCAGTAATTTACAGGAAAAGCACTCTGGCTGCTGTAATTCTTGTTTTACATATGCTGCTCTCTGACAGTGCTTCGTCAAGTCTGTAACTGCTAGATGGTATTGACACTGAATCTTCCAGCTGCATTTTGAGAGCATATTTTATTGCATGAGGTAGAGGGGATTTACCTTTCTATTTCCAAATTTAAAAATTGTCTGGAAAATTTTTTCATTACTTTACAAAATTAAACAGGATTGGAATGAAATTAGAGTTCTTGTTCATCACCTCGCTACATATAGAGTTTGTACTTACCCTCTATTTCGCTGAGTTCTCTTCCCTGTTTTCACTCTGGTCTTTTTGAGGAGAAGAGTGTGGTAGTACAGCTGCTTTGATGTCAGTTTGAAATAGCCTCTGCTAGTTAGGGATTGTTAAACTTTTGAAGTCAAAGAACAATCAAACTTCTGTGTGTGTAAGGCACATTACATAAACATGGCACTTGATCTTTCTTTTCATATCAGGAACTATGCATGAACAATATATATGTGGTTTATATTAAAGATGCAATAGTACAGGTATGAGTTATAGTAGTAACTTGTGGTTCTCTGAACACTTAATACCTGTGGTTTTAACCACTGTGTATCTCATTTCACTCCCATATTAATAAACATTCAAAGTAGTTATTCAGAGCTTAGTGCATGTTCCTGTAGCACAGGTTAACACAACAAGACAGTAAAAGCTTGGGGTTTGGCTACCTACAGTGTTAATTTCTAACTTGGGTTCGTTGTTCAGCTTTCTTTTTTTCCCTGAAAATACCATTATGTCACAGTTAAGACTCGGGTGTCCATTCCTCACCTGGAAATCATCACTTAAAGTCCGTTTTATATAATAGGAAGCATAAATCACTGCAGCAGGTTGATTTTTGACTGATGAAAGGGAGCCTTTATGTTTCTTATGCAGTTCTGTATATCTGTAATAACTATTCAGAATAATTTGAACAAGTTAAAAGGTGAAACTTTCCATGCTGTTCAGATCACTCCTTACCATTTCAAGTATGTGAAGCATTTTCTAATGCCAAATAATAGTCTTCGCTATCATGAAGTACAGAAATCACGTTAAAGACAACATGCATATAGCACTACAAGTATGTAATGTACTGTGGTCAACAGTTGAGTTTTTAATGATTATGATGAAATAACTGTTCCAATAGCAAAACACTGTAAATACTGTAATTCAAGGTAGTTTGGATTGAGCCTTGATGTGCTGTGATTTAAGTACATCTTGCTTCTTTCAGATGTGTTGGAAGAGACCTTCAGAGGCTTAGGTTATGACGTACATAGCCACAGATATTTAAATATAGACACCATGAATCAAACATTGCTTGGAGTTACAAAGCTGCAGGTGCACAGAAATTGTGACAGCTTCATCTGCATATTGGTCAGCCGTGGATGTCCTCAAAGCATCTTCTGTACAGACCATACTTTTTCTGGATTCCCTTTGGAACAAGTAAGGAAATACTTCACAGCAGACTCATGTCCAGGACTCCTAGGAAAACCGAAGATTTTTTTTATTCAGAGCTACGTTGTGCCAGAAAACGACCAAGAATATACTAGTCTGTTGGAAGTAGATGGGAATGATGAGAATATCATTGGTAAAGTCACTATCCCCCAAGTAGCAGACATCTTCTGGAGTCATTGCAAGACGGATGCATCTACACTAGAAAAATCTCCAACTTCATCTTCATATTACCTGCGTTGTCTGGCCGAGCTACTCCGCAATCCTGATAAAAGGTAAATTTTAAAAAGGCAAAAAAATAACCCTTTTCCTGTGACGGAATGTTGTCACAGAGAAAGGGAAACCTCAAGTTTCAGCCCATCTGGTCCTGAAAATTGTCCTTATGCAGTGTCATGTGCTAAAAGACAAGTATACCTGATCCTCAAACAATGGCATAGAAAGGTAGCCTAAAGTAAGGAGTGAAGTTTCTGATTCTGAAAAGTAAAATTAGAGTGTTATGGCACTGGGGTTTGCAGAGTGAGAAGGGAAGAACCTATCCTGGATAATGTATGTCAGAGATTTAGACAGGATTGGAAATCTTCCTTCTCCAAGGTAACAAGGCCCATACCAGGCTTCTGTCAAATTGAGGATTGCTATGTACCATGACAAAAAGCTCTGCTTGCAAATATAAAGAAGTCAGTGCCTAAGTTCAGGAAAAAGGCAGTAGAGAGGGAAGGATTTTGTACCTTCTGTAGGTACAGAGCCACTAGATTGCCAATGTGTAATCTTGAATTTAAACTGTCAGCAAACTTTTATTTAAAGTCTATTTAAAGAGATCAAAAGAAATCTGGATATATAACTTGCCAACAAAGGTTTTCTTTAGACAGTTGATCTACCAGGGAGCTAACAACTGCTTTTCAAGGTAGTTGCAGCATTGACATTTAGTACCTTTTTACAAACCCTAAACCTTGTCATGAATTCAGAGATCATCATATCAGCATGATTACTATCACAACAGTGATTTGGGTTAGAAACAGTTTGTCTCAAAATGCATGTTTAGCCTTGTGTTTTAGAGCCTCTGCAATAAAGACTGAAATTTAAAACTTTCTTCGTGCTGAGTCTAAAGTTATCTGCTCTCTTGTGGATTCTTAAATGGTATCTTGCTTCATTCTCTAATGGAATGTTTTTACTTTCGTTGCTTCAGGAAACTCTCTATATTAGATATCCATACGGAACTGAATGGAAGAGTTTATGAATGGAATAAGACCACTGACCCAAACCAACAATACTCACTTTTGCTCCAGCACACACTGAGGAAGAAACTTCATTTCCCCAGATAACTGCTGTTGGAAACAACATGTCTGAAGTGGCTAACAAGAAGCATTTACTATGATCCAGTTTCACACATACCTTTACTTAATGCATTGTTATTTCATTTGTATCTAAAGTGCCTACTGCTTCCAAACCCAGGAGCTTAGAAGCATTTTGGCATGTAAAACACTAGATTTTATATTTTAATACAGAAGTTTCTGAAAGCTTAGATGAGAATGGCAGACATTGTATAGCACTGCAGTAGATCTTGCAACTAAATACAACAGGTAAATGTGGTGTAAAGAGCTCTAAACTATATAGGTATTGGGTTTTCCAGGGTTTGTGGTGTTTATTGTTTCACTGGTGGCTTCTTTAGCATACCTGTTAGCACTTGATGCTTTAACAAATATAAACCAGCCCAAACCACTGAAATTCCTTGAGTGCTTTCACCTGACCTAATAATGGCAAATGTGTTAGGAGCAAATTCCTGCCCAGTAATGCCAGTTCTTCATTAACAGGTGCTCACTTGTGTGCCTTTGCAGACCAGCAAAACAGAAATGGAGAAATGATCTTTTCAATTATCTGGATTTTGTCTGATTGCTGCATTAGAGGTTGTGTTGTCAGTAATGTCCACAGCACACAAGGGTTCTGTGTTAATAAATGAGACAGTCTGCCATGTTTTGGGCTAGGTATGTTTTCCACTTATGTAAATGAGTCCACATGTGACAGGACTTTACAGTAATCTACCAGATAGTTAAAATTTTGGGATATTGACAGATGTTTTGTGAAGCTGAAACACGATTTACACTTGTTGCACCAAGCATAGTTATAAGAGGACACTTTATAATAGTTGAACCAAAATGTCATGCAGCAGCCACTGGCTCTGAGGACTGGATGAAATGAAACACCCCACTGTCACTGCTTTCCCTCATGCAAAGGGATATGCCTTTATTAATTCATATTTTTTTCCAAGTTGCCTTTGTTCTTCTGAAAAAGACAAGGGAAAATTGTCCTAAATACAGGGGTTTTTTTCTCCAGGGGAGCAATGCTGAACATGAAAAGTTCACTTAACCTGCTTGTTGTATAACATTATAACCTGGATGGTTGTATTGAAACTTGTTGTCACTGAACTTAGGGCATTCTCTTCTCTCCTAAAGTAGACCACTTGCAAACTCTTGGTACTCCTAATACACTCTCCTATCCAGGCAAAAAAATTCAAGGTGTTGGTATGCCTTGCTTGGTTTCTGGTGCAGTTTTTTAATGGGGAAGGAGGATTATAAAATGACAGATTTGGAATCTTAGAAGTTACATCCTGTGGTGGTTGGTAGATGAAGCAAATGGTGAAATAAATATTTTCTGTGGTTGTAGAAGTAAGATGTCATTCAAGTTAGATGTATCTACGAGATGTTAATAAATGCGATCCCTTTCACAAATTGACTTCTCTTTCCCATTTCCCTTACTAGCATTTGCAATGTGATGAGCAGTTCTGCTACCTTATAGACAACTGATAGCAGAGAGTATGAAACCAAGAGGAGGCAGATGAAGAAAAGAAGTATGGCGATTTCAAGCAGGACCAAGAAGGGGAATAGTAGGAGGCACAAATTGAAGAACAAGAAGGGAAAAGATGGTTTGGAGGAGAAATACAGTATCAATATTGGAAGGAGAAGTAAAAAGGAGAAAGGAAGTAAGAATAATAGTGCCTATCCTTACAGGATCTAAGAATGTGGTGGGGTTTTGGGTTTTTTGAGTGATGCTAAATACAACTTAAAATACTAGTGTCATCGTGTAACCCCAGACAGCCACTGAATACCATACAGCTGCTCGCTCACTCCCCCACCACAGGATGGCAGAGAGAATCAGAAGGTAAAATCTAGAAAAACTCATGGGTTGAGATAAAGACAGTTTAATAGAGAAAGCAAAAGCTGCACACACAGGCAAAGCAAAACAAGGAATTAATTCACTGCTTCTTATTGGCAGGAGGTGTTCAGCCATCTCCAGGAAACCAGGGCCCATCACACGTAACAGTTCCTTGGGAAGACAAACACCATCACTCCAGATGTCCTCCTCTTCCTCCTTCCTCCTCCCACTTTATATACTGAGTATGATGTCATATAGTATGGAAAATCCCTTTGGTCAGTTTGAGTCACCTTTCCCAGCTGTGTCTCCTCCTAGTCTCCCCTGAGGCAGGAGATTCTGTGCTGGTTTGTACCAGTCTGAAGTTGCATGTTATTTCTCAGCCATCTACACTGATGTGGCTGAGTCATAAATCTAGCTTACTTCACACTGTTACATACTTGTGTTTCACTATGGTTGCCAACTCATTATCCAAAAAAGAACTTTTGTTCAAGAGAAAGTGAACTGCAGATGCCAGCAGTTGTAGATGAGGCATGTTGTTTGTCTGATCACCCCTTTCAACTCTGCATAAGAAGTAACAGTGACTCCTGTTACAGGTACCTGAGTCAAAGAAGCTTTTTATGAGAGTTTCTGAGAATTCTTTTCTGCTGTCCCATGATTTAAATTTCTGACATGCAGAATGATATTGCTGAGAAGAGCCTGCCATCTGTGTGGATGATCTGTGTTCCATTTCAACTAAATCTCGTGTACTGAATATTTTGACAGCTTTTCTGTGGCTGAAGAATGTCTTTTTTTCACCTTTCATATTAGAATCAATAAGACATGATAAGTCAATCCAAATGCTGGATTTCAAGCTGGACTTCTCAATAAAATTTCTGCAGACAGACTGTCCCTAGCTCCCTCTAGACCATCTCTTTAAATTTTTGTCAATTTATCTCGTAGACCTCTACGGTTTGTTAAATTTGGCTGTGAAGTTCTCCAACTCTATAAGAATGAGCTGACTGAATAAAGGACAGTGAGCCTTTTAGTTTCAACAGGTGTGTTGGACAGCAACTTTTTGGCATGAGCAAGGAGATGCTTCCCATTCTGTCTCCATTGACCTGAGGGTATAGGGGGGATACAGGTCTGTTCTCTCCATGCTATCTATGGCATACTATTTCAATTTTTAAATTGTCAGATTGCTTTTAGTTTTTACACCATCTTCCTTTCTACTTTCTTCTCACTGGATCTCTGTTACATGCAGATGCTGTATGAATTGTCAGAGAACATTACCAGTGAGATGCTGAAGGGTATCATATTCTTCCTGCAAAACCATCTTCCCAAGCAACAGATAACTCTTGTATATGAGGAGTGAGCCAAATGTGTATATGGTGGGAAGGCAAGAAGGAAGGGGGGAAATAAGAGGAAAAGTGTGAAGAGTATTTGGCAGAATAGAGCATAATATGCAAGTTGGTTGGTCAGTATTTATAGGGTAGCAAGAAGGAAGCTGTTGAGAGGTAAATATAGAATTTGGTGCTTTGTGCCTAGGTCAGTCACTGACAGTTCACTGTCTAGCACCAGATATAAAAGGATGACAAACCAAATCTTTGCCCTGCTTGAGCCATGTGCAGAGAAGATTCATGTTCATATGTCACTGGTGGACAAAATTAGCTAAACAGATGATTTTACACTGATAAATTTACATTAACCCTGACAGATAATCTGAAGAATGTGAAGTTTATTGTTAAAAAAAAGCCCAAACCAACCAAACCTCAAAACCTCCTATCTATAATCTCTAAGGCAGACCTATCTGTTTCTTGAGTGGATTTAGGTTAAAATACTTTATTCCATTATTTTTCTTTACTGATTGGATCAAGCAAGACAGGGCAAGAAAAGGTCTTTTGTTTTTAATATGACTCAGAACAGAAAAGGAGAAATTTGGAGAAAAGGATGTGTTTTCTATGTGCATACAGTATCTTCTAGTTGATCTGAAAGCTGTTAAATGGGTTGCCATCTGCTCACTAATAAGTAATTTTTTTTAATTTTTGCTCTCCTTGCTGTAGGGGTAAAGTTATTTTGTCAATTCTTAGAGAAGTTAATGCCGATGTGAGCAAACGTGATAACACCCTGGGGACAAAGAAGCAGATGCCCCAGCC